CAACAAACATAAACAAAACACAGCACTGAGCCCACATCAACTTAGAGGAGCTGAGCCTTGGGTTGCCCCTGGTCAAAGCATGCAAACCTCTTTCTCCCACCTTCCCCCCAATTCATTCCTTTTGACTCCCCTCAAAGATTATTTGAGCACTCATATATAGCTGTTCATTTAACTTTTCCACAATGCATGTCCTGACACACATATAACAAAATAAAACGCAGTAGCCTGACATAGTATTATATTCAGATACCCAGGGGATAGCAAGTAGGGGAAGGGATCACACAGGTTAGCGAGATTATACCTGAAGTTCCCCGCCTCCAGAACCCCGCCTGGGCTCCTTCTCTTGTGCATGCTCGTTCGTGACTTGGTAGAGACGCATATTGTTAGCAACAAGGCCATCAGAACGAAGAACACTTCCACGCCGATGTTGAAGGCGAGGAGACAGCATTGGTATCGAGACCAATGCCAACAACAAGTACAACCATGGACACAGTAGGCAGCGCTGCGGCAAAGATGAACTTTCCACCGATAATACTTGAAAGATTCACACCCTGTCTCGCCATTTCCCACTCATCCCCGCTTACAATTCACATAGCCTCTATGGCTGATTTTGGTCGACCTGCTTCTCAAATGCGAGATCCGATGCTACCATCACGTTCGTCATGCCAAAAAACCCGGGTATAGACTCTCCCCTCGCCCTGGCTAGCTCATTAAGGAGAGACATATCCCTTTTTCTTCACACCTCATTCTCCTCTCCGAAACTGTCACACACCCTGTTTATCGGTTTTCTCCCGTCCTACTAACTGATCATGAAACCTAGCCCTTCCAACGGATTCGCCCTACCAAAAGATCCTGGGATCTCCTCTCCCTCTACTCGATTCCATTCAGTATGGAGTGAGATATAAAATTTTYGTCCCCGYCATAGCTATCTYCGTCCTCGTGTCGYGCARCCCTTATCCCTGGTAACACARAATCCGTTKYTCAKAACCAAAAYCCGGCATGGCCATCTGATCCAYAATGCYTGAAAACCTCAGATTCACCTCTTTGTTTGCTCAATTCCRTCAAGAATTGAACGAGATACGATYTTTTTCTCTTTCTTGTCCACTCTTTCTTCTCTCTTCCCAACTCCTCCGCGCACTCGTTTCTCCTTCTACCTCACTACATCTCATCTAATTTAGAAATCTAGCTTTGTACTTGGATTCGTCCTGCCTCTAAGCCAGTACCCCACTCCTCTCTTCTTCGTCATGATCCTCTCCCTCATCGTCTCCTCCCCTCTTCTCCCTCGTAGCTCGCTGCTCCACGAGCCTCTCCCGCCAGTTAAGGTATGCCTGGATAATAGCGCACAGTCCACCCGCCTTGAATACTTGAATGGACATGAAGTCCTGGTCACCGGACCGTACTGTCTTATATAGCCTAAAAAGGTATATCCACATAGCTTACTCGTGCCCCACTCAAAGGACGCATCGCTACCATTTGCTCTTGTTTGAACGAATCTGCCCAAACCTAGGCAGCAGGTCCATCCATCAGAGAAAAGACTGCAGTGCAGTCCCTAAAAGGAGAATAGGGGTTGATAATAAATAATAATAATAATAGTAAATAAAAATTGGTCTTGGTGAGACACCTAATCGATGGAGTCGTGGCAACACATACGTAGACCCCTTCTCCGGAGCGAACTCTTGATCTACATTTTAACAGCCCGTGAGTGTGCCACCCAAGCTAAGCTTGCTGGTACCTGCTAGCCTTGCTGCAGCCCCCACCAGAATCCCTCCGGTCTGCTTTGCCCGGTCGTAACCCCCTAACAGGCATGCTCACTCTGCGACCGTGCTAGCTTACATCGTTTGTTTGGCTGATCAACCACTACCTCGGAACAACCCAAACTGGGCGCCCCTCCCCTGAACCTATACCAGATTCACTAGTGGGGGACTTTGCACAGTAGCCGGGTCTGCCTTCTCTGTGTCGTTCCAATGTTAACGGACGTCCCGAAGGACTGTTTCACGGTAGTGGTATCCCAGCAGTCCGTGGATGTTTCCACCGAACTAGGCCGCTGGGCCTCACTGCAGGTCCCGGTACTGGTACCGGGCCTCATCCCCAAAAAAATCTAGAAGTAGAAAAAAATAAAAATAAATATAAGAAAAAAAAACTCAGGGATAAAAAGACGGATGGGGGAGGAGAACCGTTGGTACCTGGTCCTACCTTGCGGGCCCGCGGTCGGAACCCCCTGCAAAAAGCGAAGGGGGATAATCATGCAGGACCCTCGACCCCTCGGTTCACTCCGACACGCTCCTCTACCGCTCTGCTGCTAGCTGCTGGCCTCGATCCCAAGATCTGCCTACTCGTAGTTTGATGATGTAACCTATAGGGCTAAGCCCAAGCCTGGGTGTAGCAGGCCCAATCTTCTATATGAATGGTATGTCAGTCATCCCGGCCTGCAAATAGCATCTCAGGTCATTTCCCCCTCCTACGGCCTGCGCCCTTGGTTCCTAGGGCTGTGCTTGGCTATTCTGGCGGCCCGGCTCCGCTGGCTTACCACACGCGCTGGCCCAACCATGTCAAGACTGCGATTTGAGCGTCTTAGGGCCGGCCACGGCGCCTTTTTACCGCCTCTCCGCCGAAAGAACCCCGCTCGCTACCCTTTTTAGTGCCGCCCTTCCTTGGTCATAGCCCTACCAAGTCAATATTGTGTCGTCCGAGATCTTGCCTGCGCGTGCGAGGCTACAACCACCTCAAAGACTCTAGCGTGACACTCATTCGTCCCGCCGACGCCCCACGGCCTTCTACGACCCAGACTTGGTCAGGCTAATGTGTGCCCACGAAGTGCACGCCCGCACATTCTCTAATCAATATAAATGTGACGCGCCCTCAACTATCACCGGGCGCGCTTTTCCTGTAAGCTGCAAAAATGTGCCCAAATACCCTTGTAAGGGTATTCGGGCCGACAGCTTTCCGGACCTTATGAAGCGACGTTCCGTTGCGTCGGGCAATCAACGCTATGCACAAAAAAGACATCTTGCTGACAAGGAAATGACCAATCCGGTTCACCGGATCGATTCCGTTCGAGGTTGTCTTATCAACCTGCTCCCGTCATGACGTTCCACTGCCAGGGTTTCAACCTGGGTCTCCCACGTCCTAGCCCCGGAGCTAGGGGACACTTTGTTCCGTACTACAGCGTACTACTCGCTCCCAGGCAGTAGGTTGATAGTCCTCTCCCTTCGTCGTAGACCTCTGCCAGTTCACCGTTGGGTGTCCTATTTAGTCATCGTCCCGCGAACGGGGTCATAACTTAGGACACGGGCCCTAACCGAGACCTCTCAAAACACAGGGCGCTTTCCGCCGCCCACATGGTAGTGTCTACCATCTCAACTCACACGAACGTTCGGCCTGGAGTCTAACACAGGCGGCTTCAGGTCTCCATCTTGGCCCACCATGGACCGATCGATCACGCCGGATCCACGGCCCACCGCGTTGTTATGTAGCGATGGTGCCCTCGTTGGTTACGCAACGATAAGCAATTCTTCCTATCTGGGCACCCGGAAAAGGGTCCTGACTCTCGACCTAATTGACCCCACTGACCTCCCCTCCAGCTAAACCTCTCCGGGTGGCCGACCCTTCAAGACTTAACCTTCGGTAAGTCATGGTCCCGCTGCCAGGTTGTGCCGGTCAGCGGCCCTCGCTGAGAGTTAGGTTTTACAGTTCTAGCGATACTAAGTATAGCCCCTTAGCCTGGCCTTACAGTACGTCCCTTAGACTAACCCATGTGGTCTGGCACGTTATTTCACAACAATAATCAAAGGATCACATACCACCTTCCACAGGACTACGTGAAGGGATAGCGCCTTTCTCAATAGTCCACCAAAGATTCTTAGTATTTCCACATGGTCGTGCCTCCCTTGCTCTGATCAAAAGCAGGTAAGGTCACACGTCTTTTAGGGATACTCACAAAACTTTCCAAAGTTCCAACATAACTGCCAGAGGTTTTCATCCATGATTCTCACAAAGTATCTGGTCTTTCCTCGTCAGACTTTACATACATGCAAACATTATCATCACTTATAGCAACTCTTCTGAGTGCCCTCATAAACTCCCTCCTGTTAAGAACGTCCAATCGGCCATTGGACTTTCCTCTCTCTTTTGCAATCATACACAAAAAGCACGCAACTTTAGCTGTCATCTTTCCATTTACCATCATTTTATTTTTGCAAAATACATCATGTGATCATTTCCTAAATAATCTGAAAGCATTCCCTTCCCTTATACTTCCAGCACCACTTGTCAATAGGACAGGGAGGCGCAAGTACAGTGGAAGAAACTGCAGATCAGTTCACCTCACAGTATTCATCTCATCACACTATCATCCATATGGGCAAGTCCACAAACCGAGAGTGAGTGTGACACACCACACACAACACAGAGACAAAGGTTGAGACTCACGTATACACTCAGGACATGGGGTCCCGCACTGTGCAAAGGCTCCTGTCCTTTATAGAACTTAAAATATTATATAAGGAGTTCATGTATCCCATAAGGAATCAAGGTAGTCAAGCGTCGAAGTATCGGAACTCGACGGCCGCTCCACACTCATGAGCGTTATCATATAAGGACGTTAACACTCTACATCACATTAAAAAAAAAAAGGAGAAATCGTCAACCTTATACTCAACGTTATCGTATGTACAGAAAAAAGTTTTTAATTCTATAACACGGCGTAACATCTCACTACTGGCTTAGTCTACTGATGTACATGGGTCTGATCTAATCCTCCACGTATCTCTCTATATACAAATAGCCATCAGTCTGAGAGTCAGAGAAATCCCGCATATGTTAGATTTTAGACCTTTCCGGATCTTATTAGAAATTCTTATTCCTGCTCACTCATGACCTGCAGCTGCCTATACAACTGCGCCCTTACCCCATCACGAGTCTTAGGGACTAGGTTTCCATTTCTATCTGTCCATACCCCAGATGACTCCCTGGTACACAATCCATTTGCCTCGTCCTTGAGGCTCTTGGGGAAGTCATCAGATCGATGTTTGCCCCTCTTGCAATAGAAGCACTTGCCAAGCTTCTTCTGAGTCATCTTCTCTCATTCCAGCGAGGGTACAGATGACGGGGTTGTTGAGATCTTGCTCGTAACCTCCTGCTGTGGGACCCCTGAGGAAGCGGGGCAGGCTGCTCTGTCATCTGTTGGCATCCCCGACTCCCCAACACGCCCCTCTGGCCCTGACCCAGTGGCCCAAGATCCCAGTACATCCCGCAAATCTATAGCAACTGGCACCTCCTGAAGCATGGTTGACACCTGACAGTCCCTCAGGTCCACTCTCTGCTCAGTCCCAACCATGGTCTGGCCCACACTTTCCTTACCCTCCTGCTCTTCCGCAGTCTCTTTCCGAAGGGGAGGTGGAACCTCCCCAGCTCTCATTGCCTCAACTAGTGGTCCCTCCTGTGGTACTGCTGGCTCATGTTCCAGTGTTAGACCAGCTGGCATTCTCCAATCAACCTCTTCGACCTTCGTGCCTTCCTCTGCCAGTGTCTCTGACGGTTCCAACATTTCCTTGTCGATCAGAGGGATTTCCTCACCATCCTGCTGGTCTGCCTTCTCCATTTCCTTTTCCTTCTTGAAGACCTGCAGCCTTTGGACCTCTGTCCAATCCACCACTCTAGTGGGGGCTTACTGGGCATACTTGGCTTCGAGGTCTCGAATTCTCTTCTCCCACTCAGTCTCCTTAACCTGGAAGAAGGTCAGTTGTGCACACAAATAGGCCCTCAGGGCGTCAGTGACCTTGTTAAGGGTCTGGTTGACTTGTCTGACGGCCTCATTCTCTGCTGAGGCCTTTTCCACGTCTGCCTTTACTGCCTCCAACTCTTTGCCCTGTCTTTCCAGCTCCTTCTTCAGGTCCTCAGCTTCTCTTTCTCAGTCCACTCTCTGGCTATATGCCTTCTGTGCCACCTTTGTCAGTCTGTCCCCAATCTTCTGATCTGAGGTCCTTGCTGCAGCGAAGCCTTCTCTCATCACGCTCCTTAGGTTGAGCAGGTCTGTAGAGACCAACTTAACCCCGATCTCCTGATGTTGTCCACCTAATCTTCCTGTGGCGTCCATCAGCTTATCGAAGCCCATCCAGACCTCTGAGAACAGAGGAGGGTCCTCCTCCTGAGTGCAGGTACCCTTTCCTTTTCTGTCCTCCACCTCCTCAGGCGCCGTTCCTTGCTGCATCCTCTCATGCAGTTCTGCCAGGTTCTTCTTTCGGAGTTGAGTCCTGATCTTCAGCTCCCTTGCTGCCCTCTCTTCTCCGTCCAGCTTTTTTTCATCAACAGACGGTTCCTCCCTCAGCTCTTGCGTATGCGGCTCGTGAGGGATGTCTGGCTCTGCGTCAGGCATGGGGTCATTCATCTCCCTCTGAGCAGGTTGTGGAGGTGCATCTGAACCATCAGACCCTTTTGCTCTCTCATGTCGGTGGGACTAGTGTTCCTTCCTCCTTTCCTCCCTCCGAGCCCCTGGTGACGCGCCCTGTTCAAAGGTTCCCCTTGCCTCTGTCTCAGGTTCCCTTCTCCTTTTTTCCACATCTCTCCTCGCACTTACCTGACGAGCTGGAGTATAATAGTTCCATAGCAGCTTCTTGCAGTGCCCCCAGTTCATGGCAGATGCCACCATGGATTGTACGAAGGGTCTGATATCGTGTCTTACAAACAACAGGAAGTTCCCCACTCTCTGCTCTCCTGGGATATAGAGCTCATCCGCATATCGATCATAAGCCCATAAGAACTTCCCCAGATTAGTGGAGTCGAATCGAATGGGTTGTCCATCCCTTCCCAGTGGTGACGGATGCAAACCCTCCATCCTCCGTCCAAAGTCTTGCCAGCTCAGCTACTCTCTGACCAATTTAGCAATAGGGTCCGCCCACTCGCCTGTGCCTCGCACCTCTCTCAACATCCTGGTGCTGTCCCATCCAAACTCTCTCGCATGCCACTCGAACTCCATCAGGAACAGCTCAATGTTCCCTCCCTGGAAGACTGGAGGCCTGTCCTCTCTCCTGGTCCTCATCTGCGACCTTTGTCGGGTTGCCCCCAAAGGGGTCCCCACTGGCTCTGCCCCTCCCCTCCCTCTTGGCATGGCTGCCCCAAGCGGTATCAAGCCTGCACAACAGGGAAGAGGCGAACAGAAGCACACAGAGGGTAAGCAATGTCAGACAAAACACAACAGGAGACAGACATAACCCTCCCACACCTATCTCAACTACCTACCTACACACACACACGCATACATAGCCATACACACATGCAAGTCTAACCATAACCTATCACACTATTCTACTGAGAGCAGCACCCGAAGTAGCCACTAGATGACTCTAAGTGGTGGGATCCCTGCTCACCTCGTCTCGAGCCACGGACTTCTTTAGCCTCGAGCCTGACACCCAGTCCTTCCATGCCGTCCCGTTCAGCTCTTCGATTTGGTAGGCACCATGTTCACCACATCTGGTGACCCTGTAAGGCTCCAACCACCTCTTATCCTACTTCCGCGACCACTGCTTTTCCAGGGACGAGTAATACAACAGCACAACGTCTCCCACCTTGAGAGGCTCCTTTCTTATCCTCGCCATTTTATCCCACCTAAGCTTGTCCTAAGTACGGCTGTCCGCGGTCCTACTTGTTGCCTCCTCAATCCTGTCCTCAATAGCGCCGATCTGTTGTGCCCTCAAATCCAACAGTTCCTCAAAGGTCAGATCAGTCTCGAGGTCCTGTCGCCTCCAGGTTTTCAGGAAGCTTTCGATACGAAACGCCGCGTCCCTGCCGTACCTGACGGTGCATAGCCAGTGCTTCTCCTGACGGTGATATTGTCTATGAAGAAAGCGACTCTGAGAAAGTTCGGCCACTGATTGGGTCTGCCGTAAGTCCACTTGGCAAGAAGATTCGTGATGGTGCTATGCCCTCTCTCCACAGGTGCATTAGCTTGAGGATGTGCCGCAGTGGTGTATTCAGCGATCACCCCATACTTCCTCAGAAGAGCCTTTACTTCCACACAGGTGAATTCGGACCCCCTATCCATCACAAACCTGGAAACAAAGGGATAGCGAAGATAATACTCTTCAATGCACTGAGCCAGCATCTCGCCAGTCTTCGTGCGAATGGCCCTGCCATCCACAAACCCAGAGAGGTTGTCCCGCGCATCGAAGATGAAGTTGTAGCTCCCTATTCCCAACGGCATTGCCAACAGGTCCAGGTGTACGACGGCTCCAACCTCACGAACATACCTTGGGTGAAGCGGCTCTCTAGGTCTAAGAGAGGATCGCTTCTGGCATGGTACACAGGACTTACAGTAGTCATCAATCATCTGTCCCATGCCATCCCAATAGTACAACTCGTGGATCTTCAGATATGTCGTATCTGCACCTCTGTGGCCACCTGTCGTACCGTCGTGCAGTGCCGCCATCATGTCAATCTGGCGAGCGACGCCGCAGACTACTCTTTTGAGGTCTCTTCCCTTACTTCTCATGAACAGATGGCCGTCCCTTACTAGGAAACTAGGCCTCATCTTCAGAACTCGCGTGCAGGCACCCCTTTCCCTCATCTCGCACGAAAGAAGCATGCCGAGTTGAAGGTATACCCCCACATATTCTTCTGCTCGAAAGGCTTCTTTAATCTCACCTTCCTCAAACTCGTCGTCCTCCCTCTCGTGGATCACGTTGTCACCTTCTCCTGGCTCTATCTCCTCTTCCTGGTCTACTACCGTATTTCTGACCGTCTCTTCCTGAAGCAGTGCATTTGCCAGCAGGTACACCCCACCTATCATCTTCTCGTGCTTACCCACCTGTAGCGCCCCACTCTCAATCGTGAGCAGCTCCTCCTGTAGCTCGTACTTGTCTGCTAATTCCAGCTCCATCATCCATTCTACGCCCGGCCTTCCCCAATAATCTTCTTCAATATATGGCTTGAGGACTAAGTTTGGCCGTCGTGCATGTCCTGGAGGCGCAAGCCACACAGGTCGCCCAGGAGTAACATAGTTACCCACGGCCAACGCCCAGGAGTTGATGTGAAGTCTTATATCCTCCTCGTTGTGCAGGAACCCGCTAGAACAGTTGGATCCACCCTTAATACAAACCTGTTGCCGAAGAGGTAGTTTCTGAAGATCCTCAGGCAGTGGAGGACTGCTAAGGTCTCGCGCTTGAACTGTGAGTAGTTTCGTTCAGCGGTGTTAAGCATTCGACTCTCGAATCTTAGCGGCCGCTCCTCTCCATTGAGGTCCTTCTAAATCAAAACCCCTCCTAAGGCAGTCGGTCCTGCGTCCGTTTCTACGATAAAGGACCTGGTCATTACAGCATCATGGTCTGGTACCCCCAGTACCAGTCCTCCTTCCTCAAACTCCTTTTTCAGGTCCCTTATCACCACCTCCTGCATTTCTCCCCTTTCCCAATCTTGGCCTTGACGCACAAGCTTTCGCAGGTGCTCTGTCTTCGCCGCAAACCCCTTAATAAATATTCTCCAAAACCCGCATGTGCCGAGGAAGTTTCTCACTTCTGTAATCGTCTCGAACGGGGTTGGCCATTCGAGAATCTTGTTCGTCTTCTTAGTATCTGGCCGATGACCCCTCTCGTCGCCCACAAATCCTAAGATAGTGGTACCACTCATGCAATGCTTCGATTTTGGCCCACTCGCGGTGAGGTTATGCTCCTTTAACAAGTCCAGGACTTGACATAAGTCTTGCACATGATCCCAGACAAACTGTCTGATTCGCGGCATGACCTCCCGCTCATCCTTCTTCTTCGACCCTTTCACGGCCAAATCATCAATGTAAGGCTGAGTGATGTGAGGGCTTACTGGCTGCATCACCCTCACCATGTGCCTCTGGACCATGGCGACCGCATTCGTCCACCCCTGTGGTGCAACGTTCATGTGGATCAACCCTAGAAGGGTATGCATCGCCGTCATTGGTCTGTCAGATGGGTATACAGGAAACAGGTCATAACCAGAATATAGATCTATCAGAGATATAATGGCCCTCCCTGCACATGCCTCTGAAAGCGCATCTGCGTTAGGGAGACCACCTGCGTCTCTAACAGTCACAGCATTTAGGCGCTGCAAGTCCTGTACCCACCTCAACGTCCTATTTGGCTTAATAAAACAAAACCAGGAGGATGCATACGGCCCGCTCGAGTAGTCTGATACATGCGTGCAGATCTTCCCATCTAGGTAGTTGACTACCTTTTCCTCATCAGCTGGATTAGGATATCGTGCACCCCGCAAATTCAACGGCTCATGCGACACGGTGTGTATCCTAATCATGGGGATTTTATCCACGTCCAGACGTCCTCTTTCGTCATCATTGAAGGCATATGCAGTGTGCTTTCCTCTTATGATGTCCACCATAAGCTTCTCTTCCTGCGCTGTAAGGAAGCCAGGCTCCCTTATAATCAGCGCCTTCTCGGTCTCCAGATTGATACGACATGGCATACTCTCARCATTCTCCCGCATCTGGCGTATCAATTCTCTCTTCCRCTCGTAGTATACTTCCTTTTCCTCGGCTACGAGCACTGGAACAGGGCGGCACTTTTGATCTACCTTTTTGTACCGCCTTTGAGATCCCTGCTTGAGCCCACCTCTAAAAAAGGCCGAGTCGCGCTCTAAGGCTGTGCTCCACTCATTCCACCTACCTTTACGGGCGTCCGATACACTWGTTTCATTTCTCCTGCACCCATTTGCTCCACTACCTTCTCTCTCAAGGCCTCCACAGCCTCGGGGTCAGCCATCCCATAGGTTGACACTATGTTCATAGCATCGCCTATGTTCGCCAAGCTTAGAGTCARCGCCTCTGGCTCTCTTCTCTCCTCATACTTGCTGGCTTCGATCCTTAGCMTTTCTTCTTCTGAMTCTTCAATCGTGAACGAACCGGGGTTGGGCCGGTTCCTTACGCTCTTGGGTCCTGTGTTCTTGYAAGTGATGACCTCGTAGTTCCCGCATACGGGGTTACACAGGACGAGGAACATAGTTCCATCGTGTTTGTTGAGGATGACCGTCTCTGTCCCACTTAGGAACGATCTCCCAAGTAGAATAGGGTGGTCCAAGTCAGGCATCACAAAGAAGCAGCTTYTTACTTTCAYCTTTCCAATTTTCAATATTACTGACRACGCGGTCCCAATGAATATCGATCGGCTATTGGCCCCCATTAAAACCCCGTTGTCAGAGCGGTCTATTTTCATTCCCGGCYGTACGGCATGTTCCTCCTTTATGAGGTTCATTTCCGCTCCACTATCCACCATCGCAGTGCATGTCTTCTCTTTCACCACAACKTCGAGGCAGCCACAGGCGACAGACTTCCAGTCCATCTTAGTACCTGTTTCAGCCCACTCAGCCTCCTTAGGGATTATAGTCCCTAGTCGCACACTGGCCACCATCTTCCTGGATAGTCGCGCCCTTAGCTCATCCCTAAGCCTAGGCGCTGAGGGTAGTACATCCTTCAGGTTCATAAGGTGATTATGACCCTCTAGGATTTTGTCCATTATCTCTTCCACATCGAAGCCTTCTTCCACTCGGACAGCGTACTTCTTCTTCTTAACTTCTTGTACCTTGTCTATATCAGGCCTGACACCCCTCTTCTTGGCTCTTTGCTCGGCCCTCTCATCCTCTTCCTTCCTMAACATATCATCTTCGTCATCCTCTCCTTCTGGAACGTCCACTACCTCTTTCTCTCCACTGGGTTCAGGAACATCCTTGGCCGGTACTTCGGGGCTCACCGGCCCTTTAGCCCTCGTCCTGACAGTGTGTGGTGCCCTCCCCGTCTTGGAGGGTGGCCTAWAAGTCATTCCRGACCTTGGCGCYGGGCCCGAAGTCGTGACCAGATCCTCCCTGCGACCCTGCACCAAGATTGTAGAGGTATACCGATGGCTCCTTACCTTGCCACTCCTTGACTTCTTCGCACATATCAGCCAGCTTCTGTTGGTATCTCCCGACTTTGTCTATCAGCTCCTCCATTCTCTCCATTGTCTGTCGGGCCGTTCTCCAATAATCTTCCCCTGTCTCAGCACGCAACGGCCTGTTCCAGCAATCTTCCTCAATCTGATCGTCGGACTCTACTATGATCGGTTTGGTCTTAGTAATGTCGGYCTTCCTTTCTTGCTCCACCTCTGCGTTCTCTCYTACCTCCTCCACCCTAACGTTACTACGGACCTCTTTCTCCTGCCATATCCGAAACATGGCTGGAGGTGCGGGTGGCTCACCGGCCTCAGCCCTTCGCAAGGCTTCCTTCCTCGTACCGCCTGGAATCTTCGGGTCAAGGTGGTACCCCCACTTGTCGTACATGTCTCCATCATAGTTGGTGCTAATCAAACCTTTGTCCTCGTCGTTCCTCCTGACGTGGCAGAACTTAATAGTATGGCCTTTCTKCCCACAATGCCAGCAAATGGCATTTYTCCAGTCTACTCTCCCTCTGCCAGCACCTCTTCCACMCTCTTGACCGCCTTGACTTCCAGAGRCCGCCCAGTCCTCGTTTCCCCTGCCTGCAGCGTTACCACYACCATTCCCTCTRTCGTTTCCTCCTCGGCCACYATTCCCTCGTCCTCGGCCCCACCCTTGATTTTGTCCTCGTCCACCGCCTTGGWTGCCTTGCGATCCTTGTGSGGCTGACTGCTGAGGTTGGTTAGGCGGTGGGGTTGGGTGGCTCACCTGCTGAGCTTGGGGTCCCGGGKAGCCRCAGGAAGCTGTGMTCRTTGGCGGTCCGACACATGACSYATGCGGCCCACTCATCRGYCATGGCGCGTATGAACAATGCCCATGCCAATGACTTGACGGTCCACAGCCTGGYCATGGMCCATAGTGTGCTGGTGCAGCCTGATTGGRTGACTCCGGGGGTGGCATTGCTACAGCTTGCGGGGCCTCACCCCTCCCTGAGCCTTGCCCCCCCTGAGCCAAGTTCCTTGCCTTCCTCTGAGTCTTTGTCAACTTCTGTGGCTCAAGCTCCTCTTCCTCTTCCTCTTCTTCTTCCTCCTACACCACCGCTTTCTTTGCTTTACCTTGGGTCTGTGGTGCCGCCATAGTTTTTCTTCTTGCCTCCTTCGCTGCATCGAGTTGGGCCACCGCATCCTACACCATTTTCTTGAAGTCGCGAGTATCACTCGTTGTAGCGTCTAAGGCCTTCCTTTTCTTCCTAGCCTGTCTCATCTGGAAGATATCTACCTGGCCCAGTTCTCCGTCCATTACGCCTTCCTTTATGGCAGCCCAAGTGAGCTTTTTCCCTGGAGCAGCCTTCTTGGTAAGCGAGGAGGCTTTCCAATTCTTGAAGTGCCCCAGGAAGGTAGCACACTGTTCCTCTTCTGCCAATCCTGGGACTTTCTTCGCCATCTTCTCGAATGCTATTACAAATGCCCCCACCGTGGAGAACTCATCTCGGTGTAGCATCTCCAGATCCGTCTTTGTGAGCAAGCCGTCTCCTAGCTTGAACCACCTTTGCATTTCAGCCTTGAACTTTGCCCAGTCTCCCCCTGCTCCAGCCTGCTCCAGCAGCCACTTTCATGATTTTTGGTCGACTTTCCCACCAAATGTATCGAGGTGGATACTTAAATTTATCCGCTTCTGGCACCTCGACAGTAATCTGTTCCAGGAGCTCCAGCCACTTTGACACCCTCTCCACTTCAAAGTGGAAGATGTCAATCTTTGGCACTTGTAGCCATGCCAACCCTCGTTTTTTCGAGTGCCTTGACGAAGTCTTCCGGCGTAGCGGCCGGTCCCCGCTCGATTCGCTCGGCGTCCGACATCTTCACCTCTTTCTGCTAACCAACCTGTTAGAAGTAACAAGGGGTAGACCGGTAAGCAGTCCGTCAAGTTTCAGAGGGCTCGCCCTACATCATTCCTGCCCACTCTACTTCTAAGTTCACCTAACCGCTCTACCATTAGTCATTCACACCCAAGATACAACCTTTAGTCGCACTAAATATCACTTAGTCTTATTGTGATCTTACACACACACCCTCTTATATAAGATATCCCAACCTATAACTGTTGTCGTTCTGCCTAGACCGTCAGCCTGCACTTAACCTGGGTTCGTTCTCTTAAGGACCCCGGTAGGCAGCCGAGATCCCCGGCAACGGCGCCACCTGTCGAGCGCTTCGGTCCCTCACGGGGACCCTCCCGGCCGCGTCACGCAGGATTATGCAGGACTTGTCGCAGCGAGCGTTTGCCGCTCCGGCCGAGTGCGCCAGCCGTACCTCTCGCGAGCCCCTACGACAGGACAGAGTCACGCGAGGCACCGCTACCTCCACCTGCGGGAGCTGTCACCATCCCTTAGGTGGGTGTATCCCTGCCGAGCTACTGAACCACATGCGAAAGTTTTTCATATGCAATTGCAGAGGTGGCCCAGCCGAGGGCGTTTCTCGTTCGCTGTAGCATACGGGGTACGCGCGGTCGAACGCCCGAAATCGAACCCGTACGCTAGTCGTCGTACTGGAGGGCTGAAATCCCAGGCACGATTTCGCGCCGGTAGACTAGGACGCACTACATACCCACGCGTTACACTACAACACCCACGTTTACCCATGCATAACTTACGAACACACACACAATAATCTCCACAAATAACACCACAACACAACAACACTCCTAGTCCCTTCAGTATCCGACCCATAACTCTACGCAGTGGAAGTCGGTAACTGCCTTGCGCGAGGTTTAGTATAAGATCGCGTGAACGTAGGACCCACGCATACCGATTTATAATACAGTCCTACGCAGATAAAAGCGATGACGGCGCATTATGTGGTGTCCATACCCGAACGGCCTATTCTGGGCCATGGGGTGGCTCCCGACGCTCAGGCGTTGGCTGAAGCGCACGCTAAGGGGGCACTCTTAATATAATTAGAAAAGGCACCGCCGGGACTAACCCTATGGGGGTCATCCAAGCGTACGCCTACTTAGATTATCACCTCAGTAGAACAGGGGTAGAACAATCTCACTCAAACACAAGGGTTGTGGGGTAGTTCACTCTCAAAACAGTTGTGTGGTCTGCCCATCTGAATCCACGCAATACCACTCAACATGAATCAATCGAGAGTCTTCCATACATACCTGCAATCACACCACGATATCAAACAAAGACCCACATGCTACACGGGGTCAACTCCAAATAACCTCTCCACTCATGCCCTTCGCTCTAGCCAGGCAAGCCCCAACCTCCAGCCAACCAACCATAATTAAGTACTCAGTACCTCTGTTAAATGGCCATTCAATAAAAGTCTGGGTGAAACCTTAACAAAACASATAAAATCACCAGGGCTAGAGCCTTYTTAGGTTGAGCATCGAGGGTGAATTGGGGTTSAGTCGTAGACCGACGGATCGGCAACCGACCTGTTATCAGCGATAACAGAAGAATGATCCTTTGAAGGAATAGGCCGAACAGATCAAGCCCTCAAGTGACAACACGGAAACCTGCATCACATTASAGGYCAAAGGGAAATACTACTTATGCTTGTGCCAAGGGGAGAAYATCCCCTTAGGRTCGTATCCTAGMTCCTCTACTAGTACMAGGTTACTWAGCATCTCCTCTAATCAGGATAGGTCTGCTAAGTAACTCCCAGCTGAAAAACATTCTAACTCCC